TTTGTCGGTAGGTGATAAACCCTGAACTTGTTAGCAAGTAGCGTATGAGAACTACTTCTAAATAACAAGTGCCGTCCTCATGGTGAGTGATAAGCTCTAAGCCTGTTAGCAGGTAGCATATGAGAACTATCTCTAAATAACAGGTGCTAGTTTATGGTTTTGGTTAGCCTTATGCTTCTCCTTTCTGCTATAGTTTACCATTTTTAAGAAAAAAAGTTTGTTGTATTTGGTACAAGGGATCATTGAAAAGAGTTTATATGTATATAAAACATAATTAAATTATTTAAATATTAATATTTACTATATCTTATATAGTATTAATAGAGTAATCTCAATTATAAAAATTTGATAATTATAAAAAAAAAAACAATCCTAACTCTAGTTTTTTTAAAAAATTTGTAAAGTTTATTTATTTTTATAAAAATATTCTTAATTCAAAGGTTTATTTTATAAGTATAGCATCTAAGAAAATCTTGTTTGGATATTATTTATAAAATGTTCTATGCAGCTTTATATTATTTGTATTATCTGTAATTATATTAACAAACTTATTGATATTAGTTTTATAAATTATATTTTCAATTCTCTTAGCTATATTTTCTACAATATTTTTCTTTAATACAAACTAATTTATAAAAATTAATTAAATATAATAATTATGTAATTAATTATTAATTATTTGTTAATATTTACTAACTAATCAATAATGTGTTTCATTAAGAGTATTTTAAATAGCTACTTGTAGATTTATATATTCTTATTAAAAAGTGAATTAAAAAGAGTCTAATATAATCAAATAAGCAAGCCTTTAAAAAGGCTTGAAAATTTAAAATTTTAATTATATTAAATAAAATTTCTGATATATAAAAAACAAAGAATTCCAATTCAATTTGATTTTGTAAAATAAGATTATTAAAATTCAATAACTTTTACTTTTTATTATTAATATTTTGTAAGCACATGTAGTAGATTCTTTGCCCATTCTTTTTGCATGCTTTGCATTTATAATGTTCTTTACTCTTTTTGTTAATAATTATAGTATATTCTTTCCATATATCATCAATTTTGAGCTATTTTAATTCTGTTAAAAACTATACACATTTCTTTAGTCTTTTATATAAGCGATACGAATAATATATATAAACTTTTTCATTATATTAACAGGTGATGTTAATAATAATAAACTATTATCTGTTATAATGACAATGTACTATATACCAGCATTATGAAAGTTTAAATTACGAAAAATGATTGTCGGATAAGGACGCTTTTTCTATAGTTTTTCGTGCTCGTCCATCCGAATTTTGATTGGTTTATTTCATGTGATTGCATTATAAGTGTTCTGTTAATTGATTTCCTCGTCTATTAATTTATTAAGAGAATTCAATTTTTCTTTAGTTCGAAGAATAGGCTCAAGATTCTGTTAATACTAAAAGTAGTTTGCAAGATATAACTTGTGTAATGAGAGTGTTGGCATGAACGTGAATTTATTTTCGGTGATGGTAAGTAGAATTTTTAAAAGATATTTTTACTTAGGATATTATTCAAACTAAGGTTTAAGCTGACAAATTAAAATTATATACAAAAAAATAGATTCTGTTTCGGGGAATTCGTTTAAATTCTTTAAAACTATAATATAAGTATTATAACATCCAAAACATGGTATTAGTTTAGTAAAATATATTAATGTATTTTGTATAATAAATATAAGAGAAAATTTGCTTTTGCTATTGTGACAAATTTGATCCATATAATTATAAAATAATATAAAGAATTCATTAGAGATAAATGGCCGTTGTTTTTTTAATAATCTGAAACACTTCATAATCTTCCACATAAAATTGTTCAAAATCGGTAATTTTTTTCTCATAACTTTTTGGTCTACAAAAACTAGGAAGGGTAACATTATTTGTAAAATGAGCTGTAACTTTTACCCACAAATCACCATCACCAAATGAAGGTCCATGTGTATTTCTAATTGCTTTGCTAGGGTTCTCTACTCTGCTAACAATAGATTTATTAACATCCTTTTTATTTAAAGAAAATATAAAACTAGAAGAAGATTCTGCCCATTTTATGCTGAAATCCCATGAAAGGGGATTATATCCACCCAAAATTTCATCCGTATCTCTAACTTTTATAATAGTAATAGTAGGTCCTTGATTATCACAATACTTATGAAATAATTCGTCTGACATACAACCATGACTACCACGTATTAATAATTTTAGATCGTAAGGCAATAGTTTTGGATTATTTCCATTATAAAATGTAGGTAATTTATCGTAATCAACTTGACTCATTATCCAAGCTGCGTGAATATGATTAATAAAAATTGATTGAATTTGTTGATTTCTCTTTGGTGAACGTAAAATTGGATGAGATGGATTAATATGAGGTGCTAAATGAAATTTAAGTAAATCATCGAATAATTCCGTTGGAAGAATACGTTTAAACGGTAGGATCTTATGATAAAAATCACTCGAAGAAATTGCAGTAAAGTTGATATGAGGAATATACTGATCTAGAATTTCTTTTAAATTTTCAAATGATTCTTCTGACCAAGTTTCATAATCTGGATCAAGAGGAGGTGATGTATTGAATTTTCCCCATTTAATAAGAGCATCCCAAATTTCAATTTCTGGCATGTATAAGTTACTACGTTCTAACAATGCAGTTAACAAACTAGTATCAATGTTTACAAAATCGTTGGCTTTGAATACTACATCAGGTTGGATTTGAATAATTTTCAAACAAAATTCTTGAAGTTTCTTAAATGATTCATGAAGGAATGCTATTTTATGAATTAAAATAAAATTTTCTCGCATCCATTGTTTATGACGAGAAAAAAAATGGTTGGTGATGAAACTGGTTAACTCGGCGAGACAAAGCTCGTCGGAAGCAATTAAAATTTCAAGGAGTGTCAGCATGCCAATTGCTGATAGATTAATAGTCGCACCATAAATATATCTTTGATGAACAAAAAGATTTTTTAAAGTTAATTAGAAATATTTACACATAAACCTTTAGCATTTACTGTATATTCACCTCAAAATAACTTCGAATGCCTCTGGTGAAATGTTTGGCTTATTAAATACAATATGATCCTTTCTGGCCCAATCACCCGATAAGGCATAACGAAAATAGGCAGAACGAGAACGCAAGATTACAGTATGAGCTTTGAAAGTTTTGGTATTTTCATCAGTACCGACAGTGATCAATACATTATATTCATCTGCCATGTCAAGAAGTTGACATAAATCATTAGACAATGTTTTCAGTAAATCATTCATCGTTATTACTGTACAAAAAAATAGGAAGAAGGAGAATCTGCTGATTTGGAGAATCTTGGGCTGTTTTGAAGTACAAACGTCAGATAGAATCATGTGCTCATAATATTGATCTTTAAACGTTAAATGAAATTGCACTCGCATTAAGCAATAATAGGTTACACCCGATTAATACAGGTATACAATACGTACCAGCTTTAGTTTAGCGTTAACGTTAAGAATTTAAAATCAAAAATTAGAGTTTGAAACCGGTTTTATTTTTCATATGTCAAAAACGGTTTTAATCGGTTTTAACATATGAAAAACAAAACCGGATCAAATTTCACATTAATTAAATACGATATAAACAAATTCATCAATTCTCGAAAAAATGAAGTAAAAAATACCTATCATTAATCCTCCTCAACTTCAATCTGGGAAACATATACCTACTCAGGAAAGTGTCCAAAATATCCTAAAAGAATTTGCTAAGGCATTCCGAAATGTTGCGACGGGAGTAGTTCAGGTAATGATATTGAGAACCAATACCAGGAATGCGAAACAAATTGGATACAAAGACCTTCAAAGGTGAAGAGAATGAAGACTGGTCGAATAGTAGCCTGAAAAAAGACTTATAGCTATTATTTCAGGTTATCTATCAATAATCGCCGTAAACTGGTATATAATGACAAAAAACAAAAAGAAATCATTAAAAGTTTGAAATTCCTCGGGAAATAGCTTTGTTCATGAACATATAAAACATTTTGCACTTCAGAAAGGCGCTATAAATGGCAGATAGACCTTAATTCCTGTAAAAAAAAAAAAAAAAAAAGAGAATGAAAAGATGGATAAGTGTATATATATGAGCCGAGATCTGGAAAAAGGGGACGTCTAAAGCGGAGGCAACTCATGTTTAATACTTTTTTCGATTAACTTTAGGGTTAGGGGCATCCTATATTAGAGTTAGGTTAGGTATTTGGCAATTATAGATAAGCAAAATTGCCTTCCTGACATGTATTTCTCAGGTTTTTTGTTTTTAGACGTCCCCTGGAAAAGGACCGAAAATGACAAAACAAAGATCTGGAAAATCAATTTTTGTGCTGTAATTCTTATCATTATAATAGATCATAAGAAAATACAAACTTTAAAGAGCTATACTACAAAATTTTATTATCACAACTACTTTTGTATCTTAAATAAAAAAGATCCTAACCTTATTCTAAATTGATTTATGTAAAAAATTTGGTTTGAAAAAATTGTCATTTTCGGTCCTTTTTCCAGAACATAGGCCATATATTCAAACGTTTACTAAAGAAAGGGGATGGTTAAAGCCCGGCATAGTCATATAATTTTAAACATTGATTAAAGTGGTGTTAATATTGTTTAATGTTAGAATTAGGGTAAGTATTATGGGTAAAATTTTCTCGCCGACATTTTTTATTAGTGTCCCGAGATAGGTTTAGACATTAGTTTTTTATATTTTTCTCGTTTTTGATCCGGAAAAAATAAGAAACACTTTCCTAAAGAATATAGATCGGAAAACAATTACCCATAAATAGAAGGGATACAAATTCTTCACCACAACCAAGTACCACAGAAGTTTGTGTTTTAGACTCAGCAGAAGAGATAGAAATATTTAGAATCATGGCTGATAATTCCTTCCCCGAAGAATTCGATGAAGGAGATCCTCATTGGATGGATCGGTCTTCTGATGTTAAGGAAGATGAAGTATGGGGTAACTATTGGAATGAAGAAGAAATAACAAATTATACAATTGCACCAGGATCTATTGCAACAATTGACTAGTGAATTTGGTCGAGAATTGACCTGGTCAGAACAAAATGGTTACCAGAACAAGTACTGGTCTGAAAGTTATGAAAAAATGAACAAGATAGAACGAACGAAACTTATCTAATAGATATACCACAATGGGGTGAATCGACTAAAGGCCTTGAATTCGAGAAAGAAATCGATAAAGTTTATGACGCCGACGGCTGGGAAATCTTGAACGATAATTATATGGAGGGTGATTTCAATAATTCTCATTAATACTTTTTTATTTTTTATTATTGTTATTTACACATTATATACTGTATATGTATATTTTTATTTTATTTTCTTTACTATTACGTATCTGGAACTCGAAAATAAGTTGGAAATAACTGTAATAGTGAAATAATCTTCAGTTCGCTGCCGAGGTGGCTCGGATCACTTCTGCTATATGGGTAATGGACTAGGAAAACCTCCTTTTAGTATTAGCTGTTGAAGGGGGTTTTCCTAGGGGGGATTTACAAATAAGGGCCAAAAAAAGTAAAATAATTGCCCTATTTTGGAAAATTTTACTATATCTCATGATATAGTGAACGAAATTTAATGATTTTGATATCATTCGAATCGTCTCGTCAAGACGGATCGGATGGTACTAAAATTGCTAAATTTAAATTACTAAATTACGAGCTATTCAACATTTTCTAAAATCTGTTTAAATCGTGATTTCTCGTTATCCAATAATTTAAATTTAGCAATTTTGGTATCATTCGATCCGCCTTGATGAGAAGATTCGAATGAAATCAAAATCATTAAATTTTATTCACTGCATTATGAGATATAGTAAAATTTTCTAAAACAGGGCCCTTATATGTAATTATTTTACCTTTTGGGTCCTTATTTGTAAATTCCCCTTTTCCTAGTCCATTACCCATGCCATTTATGGTCGATATAGGAGAAAGGTAGAAATAGCGAATATGAAATATGTGCTATAAAAAGTAGAGAAAGTATAATTAGAGATAGGTCATATATGCTTAAAAATTAAGTGGACGTATTTAAGAATATAAATTTCCATCGTGAATAAAGTTAACTCAATTGAGTTCCAGTTTTCGAAGGCGCAGATATCGGAATCGACGAGTAGAATGCTGAGCGTCTATCGACAAATTTTTTATTCGAACATTCTCTGAGTATCAATCATATAAAAAATTAAAGTCAGATAAGTACTGTACACAATATTCCGGTTTTATATTTTGCAACATGTGGAATGTAACAAGGTCTCAGAACAGATAAACTTTTTAACGATCTGATTTAGATTTTTAATAGAGAAATTGGTCTTATAAATTGAAAACACTCATCGATGCTTGAAAGCTCAGGGCTAAGACAAATGATGCTCAATATTCATCGATTCCAAACGTTTGTAAAAATGTTGTGTTCTAGATAGTCCTTTCCTCGATTATAAATTTCATTATTCGTAAATCGTCTTTATATTTTCTTGTCTCACGACTTTTGT